ACTCGCTTGAGCCCAGGAGTTGGAGGTTGCTGTGAGCTGTGAAGCCACGGCACTCTACCCAAGGGGATAGCTTGAGGCTCTGTCTCAAAAAAAAAAAGAAAGAAAGAAAGAAAAACTGGCCAAGTGCATTAATCTTTCTGAGCCTCAGTTTCCCCATTTGTGCTACAGTCATAATGCCACCTCTCTTTTTGGGTTGTTGTAAAGATTACAGATTAGGTATGCAAAGCACCTGGCAGGGCCTGGCCCCCAGCAGCTACTCTGTAAAGGTTTATCCCCGTCAGCTGTTGCATTAAATTAGGCCTTGGAAGATGCGATGTCCCTGAGGCTTGGGGCCCCAGTCCTCACCTCTTCCTTGATCCAGGCACTGTAGCCCGGGGGTGTGACCCCCAGCTGGATGATGCTGGCAGTAGTGAGCACAGCCATGCACAGTGGAGACACGAACTTCCACATGTAGTAATAGAAGCGATAAGGTCGGAAGCCCAGCATCTCTGTCAGCTCCTGCATGAACCTGCCAGGCACAACAGAGGGCCCAGCAGTTTGCCACCCCCACCCCCACCCCCCGTACTCTGCCCTCCTCTTCCCATACCCACACCTCCTCCAGGAAGCCTTCACTGAACAGTCCCCTCCCTCCTGGGTCCCTGTGCTTCACATTCCCTAGCTGGCCTCTGGGAAGACTCTGCTGTCTCCCTCTAGCCTCCTCTGACTCAGTCACATCACCCCCCCCGCCCCACATGACATGACAGAGCCATTAAACACGCCTCTGGGTAGGTGAACAAACCAAACGGCTTGTGTCTTTATAGAACACCCAGACTCCTCTCACTGGCCTAGCTTGAGACTCCCCCTGCTGGAAAGATATAGATGTGCACTCCCCTAGCATTTAAAAGTAGCAAGTTGCCCTGACTCAGGTTTACCTGGAAGCTGGCAGGCCATGTACTTGAATGGCATACCAAAAAAATCATCTTCACCTCTATATCACCTAACTGAAATCTGGAATTTCCATTGTAAATGCAAGCAACCACAGTAGTATTAACAATATCCGTGACTTTGCCACCAATAAATTAAATCACAGATATTTTCATATCACATTTCAGTTGTTGAAGAGACCTCGAAATATTATTTACGTTCATTACTACTTCAAAATTATCAATGCTATTAGATCCACAGATAACTTAAGGCATTAAAAATAAAGTAGACACACGTTACTACAGATTTTCAACATTATTTTGCGATTTTTCAATGTAATTAGTGTTCTATATAATCCTATATATTTTATCGTATGCATTTAAAATAATATTCTGAAAAAGAGTTCAGGGGCTTCATCAGACTCCCCAAGGAGTCTGTGACACAAAAAAATAGTCATGGTCCCTTTGAACAACAGTTCTTCTAGCTTGACTCACCATGGGTTAAACAGAGGAGTGCTCCTTTTCTACCCCTGCCTGTCCCCTGTTGCACTCTCCCATGAGACAACCCCAGTGCCACAACCAGGTCCAGGCATCAGGGACAGTCAGACTCAATGGGTTAGTGGGGGGTGGGGAGTCTTGCCAAGGATAAGCACAGTGTGACCACAGTCAACATGAGGTGAGAGGGATCTAGTCCTGGAGCTTTTTGGGGACACATATTTGTCTTTACATGAGGGATGAGGCCAGGAGCTGACAGTGAGTATAGGTCCATCTTAGGCTTAGGCCATGAGACCAAATCCTTTCTTATAGCTGAATCCTCTTACTTCGCGTGACCCCCCACTTGGAGCCAAAACCATACCTCAGCTCACGCCCCTATCTAGTGCACCTTAAAATCATGAGTTTTACGTCTGTAAGTTAAGTCTACAAGTTAAGGGGAGGGGCCCCCTGTATACCCACGGAATGGTTAACAAGTTTAACAATTCTGAACAGAATTGGTACCCAGGAAAGGGTGATTTAAAGATGATGCTAGGACCTGAACTCAGGACTCCCAGGTCCTCAGCCTGGCTCTGTCTCTCACTGGACAATTAGCCTTGAGCAGCCATGTCCTTTGTGCCTCAGTTTTCCTAAGTGTTCTATAAGGGCACTTTCAGCTCTGCCATTCTAACTCTATGATCTCCTGCCTTTCCTGGGAGTCATGATAGGAGACCCCTTCTCCTGTCCCTACCTCTCCCCATGTCCCTCTTACTTCTTGGTTCCATAGATCCAAGCCACAGCGATGTTCTCAAGGATGACGATGACGGTGAGTGGTAGGGTAGCCGAATAATCATCAAACATGGTGACAAAGTAGTTTCCAGAGCGCTGGACGAACAACAGCCCCACGAAGAATGCAAAGACACAGCAGCCCACTGCAGAGAGCCAGGAGGCCAATGTGGGGGCAAAGGTGCACAGTGGGCAGGGCCTTGGGACACTCCTCCCCCTAGCAGGCCTGCTAGGTCCAGAGCCTGAGGCTCTGAGCTCTCACGCTGTCAGGCAGGGAGCATCTTGAGGAAGTCATGGTGGCTCATTTCTTCTCCCATGCCCCTGCCCCTAGCACAGTGCCTGACCCACAGCAGGTGCTCTACTTAACTTTAAATGATTCATCTGACTGTTCCCAGGGTCCTTTTCTCCACCCTAGTTTCCCCATTTGAGAAGAAGAGGATACTCTGCTCTGAGGATGCAGGTGAGAGGTAGCCCTGAATGGAGTCAGATCATTTCAGCAGGGACAGAGTTGGAAGTAGAAACACAGCCCAGGACTGGGAGTGACACAGGTGGGGCATAGAGCAAGACCAGTGCTGAGAGAGGGCACCTGCACGAGACCACTCAGCAGGCCCTTAGGGAAAGGGGCGAGCCACCCAAAGAAACAGGCCTATCTCCGGGCTCAAGTTTCGCTCAGATTTCCAAACCGCTTTCTCCTCCTGGCTCATGAGGGCTTGTCACTGAGCAGCACTGCCAGGCTCTAGCTGTGTGTGGTAGAGGCTTCTGGGTACAGGTCCTGAAGGACCTAGTTAGGACCCAATCTTTCTAAAATCAGCCAGAACCTGACTGCTGTCCACATGGGCAGCCCATGGGGCCTGGTAGGGGCTGCAGGGAAGAGTTACCTGTGAACATCTCCTTGGGCACCTTGAAGGTGTCAATGATGGGCGTGGTGATGCCCGCCATGGTGCCGATCATACTGCCCAGGCCCAGGTTGATGAGCATCAGGAAGAACATGACGGACCAGAACGGGGAGGCAGGGAAGTGCGTCATGGCCTCGGTGAAGGCGATGAAGGCCAGGCCTGTGCCCTGCACTGACTGAGGGGGTGGAGAACAGGGCTTGTGAGTGAGGCCACCACCCCACCCCGAATACCCCTGCTTCCTCACCTCTGCTTCGGAGCTTTCAGAATAACTACTCCCTCTTTCCTGGGGATCCCCATTTCAACCTAAAGCCGGCTGGTTTGGGCCAGTGTGTCTCAAACTTTAGAAGGCATCAGAATCTGGGGAAGTATAAAACACAAACTCAGAAGTTCACCTGGGGGACCATACAAGGACCTCAGGTGACTCAGATGAAGATGCTCATGTTTAGAAACACGCCCAGCTTAAGACCCTCACCCCCTGGCTCGGCGCCTATAGCTCAACCGGCTAAGGCGCCAGCCACATACACCTAAGGTGGTGGGTTCGAATCCCCAGCCCGGACCCGCCAAAACAACAATGACGGCTGCAACCAAAAATAGCCAGGCATTGTGGTGGGCGCCTGTGGTCCCAGCTACTTGGGAGGCAGAGGCAGGAGACTCGCTTGAGCCCAGGAGTTGGAGGTTGCTGTGAGCTGTGATGCCATGGCACTCTACCCAGGGGGACAGCTTGAGGCTCTGTCTCAAAAAAAAAAAAAAAAGACCCTCATCCCCTGAGATGTCCTCACTGATTGCTCTACATACACTGGCTGTGCCCAGCTCTGAACTTCTGATCTCCAGATCTGAACTTGGTGCTCTCAGCCACAGCTGCCCAAGGGAAGCACACCAGAACCTTTAAAAACACTGATGTCAGGGGCTCACCTCAAGGACAATGATTTTATTGGTCTAGGGTATAGCTAGGCATCTGAGTTTTATAAAGCCCCTCACGTGACTATTATGGTAGCCACGGTAGTCACTGCTTTAAAGCTGAAGCCCCTGCTTATGGGGCAAGTGACTACACGCTGCCCCTGACTTCACTTACACTTGTCCTGTCACGTTCAGTGATTTTGACAGTTACCCCTGGCTGAGTGGGTAATTCCTGTCACTGGGATGCTATTGAGGTTGTTTTGTGTAGAAAAACTATGATCGCATGACCATGCCTGGGGCAGGGTTCCCAGGAATATGAAATGAGGCAGTCCTTTATGCTACTAGTTGCCTGGGGAAGAAACCAGGGCAGGGAGCCCCAGGTTTTGCTGCTGTCCACCTGCAAAGGTGTCAGGCATGCAGGATGCAGCCCCCTCAGCATTAGGACCATGCCAGTCCAGTAGAGTCGACTTTAACATGGAGCTCAGCCATCACTCAGGGAAAGCGTCCCCGTCCCTGGTCCCATGAAGAAGGGCCAGGGTTAGTCCATGCTGATGGGAGCTGGCTTTGCACCATGTGAGACTTGGTGCCAGCAGGTCCCCAGGACACTGTGGGTGTATCTCTTCCTTGTTATCCCTTCTAACAGAGCAGTCATTTTGGAAGTGTCCAGCTATGCAAATATACATCAAAGCAAAGTGTCTAAACCTGGGCCCAAGCATTAAGGAGGAGGCAGCCCTCCTCTGCCCCTGCCCCACCTGGGGCTAAAGGTTATCATGGCAGAGGGAATGGATAGGGACATGTAGGGGAGGGAACAAAAGCATTAGGGGGTGGTTCAGAGACTGGACCCTGGACCACTGCCTAGATTTGAACCCTGGCTCTCCTTACTAGCTGGGAAACCTTGATCAAGCCCCCAACTTACAGGCTATTCATCTGTAAACAGTGGATGATATTAACACTCAACTCATAGAGCTGTCATGAGGGCCAAAGGAGATAGATAATAAAGGGCAGACACTAATCTCAACACTTATTTGGACCACAGGGAGCCCATTCAAAAAATGGGAGAGTTGGCCCATACGCTTATTGTGATTTCTGTGCTGTGTCTGCTTTGTGTCTCCATCTAGACTCAAGTCTACTCCAAGGCAGCAGCTTTGGCTGAGACCTTTCCTTTCTCTCATCACTACCCCTCATAGTAAGACCTTGCTTGTTAAAGACATGAATAACTTCCCACTGGCTTTCTGAGGCCTGCATTAGAGCTCCACCCACTCAGGGGTATTATTCTTTGGGCTCCTGCCTGTCCAGGGAAGGGCAATATGTCCCACACCTTGTTCAGTTCATCCTCCAGAAGGCAGGGGTCAAGACCCAGGGCTGAGAAGCCATCCTCCTTCACAGTCATAATGACATTGTACATCTCCATGTAGTCCTTCGTGGTCAGGTGGGAGAAGTTGACGTGGGGTGGGATGAGGTCCCGGCTTAGGACGTTGGTGTTGAGGTACCCCAGGATTTTCTCAGCATTCCTGCAGCACAAAAGGAGAGGGCCAGGTAAGAAGGCAAGGCTGGAGTGGCAGGTAAGGTGCTGGGGGCTTTTCCTAGGTACTAAGGCAGGACCCCCAAGGTCATCGACAGAACCATCTCTCAGCCTGTCCCTGTGGCCCAGGGCTGGGAACAGAGAGTGCTTCTTCCATCTTCATTGCTTTCTCTATGCCTGGCCCACCTGCCCACTCCCAGGTAAGGGAGACAGGGAGAAAGAGAGACAGGAGGGGAGATGCCACCTACTCGACCACACACTTCTCATTCATGATGTTGGCCTTGAAGCCCAGCACAGCAAACACCACGAGGGTGGCCAGCACTGAGGTGAAGAAGTTGATGAAGGACACCAGGGCAGCGTCAAAGTGGCAGTTGTTGTCCTGCTTGTTGTAGCTGGAGAAGGCAATGACGCCACCAAAGCCCAGCCCCAGGGCGAAGAAGACCTGTGTAGCTGCCTCCCGCCACACCTGGGGGTCCAGCATCTTGTCCAGCTGGGGGGAGGACCAAGGCAGAAGGAAGAAACAGATACAGAGATGATGGTTTTAATCATGGGCATGGGCACTGAGGGTTCCTCCACACCACTTTCCTCAGCTTCAACGGGGTTTACAGGTAGCATGGCATAGTGGTAAGATGCTGTGGCTGTGTGACCTTGACAATTCCCCTAACCTCTCTGAGCCTCAATTTCCCCACACAGATAGCAAGAGTATCAACTGCAGAGAATTACTTTGGGGCCTAGGTAAAATAAAATAAATGCCAAGTGCTTAGATAGTTAAGTTCTCAGGTAATTTTAACTACTATCATTATTTACCATGGAGCTAGCATACTAAGGACTATTGCCAAGGCTGTCAAGTACGTTATATAGTGTACAACCCTTGGGAGTGTCATTCACTTAGACTATGGTGTGAATGTTGCCTCTGAGGGTGGCACAGTGAACAGCCTGCCCAACAGTACAAGAGGATTGAGAACCCTGACACCTCCCCCACCTCCAGTGATGGAGGTTGAGAAGGGGAAAAAAGCATCTTCTCCCTTTGCCTACTTAATCTCTCTTTTCCAGAAAAAGAAGGCTGAGGTTCACCTACACACATCTACCCACTCCAGGTCAGAAAACCCCCCATTAACCTTGAAGCCCAGAAACCAGATAATTCCTGAAGAGACACCCCCACTGCCCCAAGGTTCCATCTGCCCTCAGCCTGAACAGGGGCCTGAACTGCAACAGAATTTGGAGTGGGGGGGGGCAATTTCCAAAGCCCTTTCCCCCATCCATTTTCCTTTAAATATTTGTTCCTCCAGCCAGGGACCAAAGTCTCATAGGGACCTGGTCTAAATTCTGACTCCTTTTTCTTTTTCTTTTTTTTTCTTTTGAGATAGAGTCTCACTCTGTTGCCATGGGTAGAGTGCCATGGCATCGTGATAGCTCATAGCAGCCTCAAACTCTTAGGTTCCAACAATCCACTTGCCTCAGCCTCTCAAGTAGCTGGGACTATGGGTGCCTGTGATGATACCCACTAGTTTTTCTATTTTTAGTAGAGATGGGGTCTTGGTCTTGCTCAGGGTGGTCTTGAACTACTGAGTTCAACGATCTACCCACCTTGGCTTCCCAGAGTGCTAGGATTATAGGCTTGAGCCACTGTGCCCAGCCCTGACTTCTATCTTTAAATAGCTTTGAAGCTTTAGAGAAGTGGTAGTGCTTGCTTTGTGAGCCTCAGTTTTCTCATCTGAAAAATGGAAATAATAATGAAGTCACCTTCTCAGAGTGATTGTGAGGATCAAATGCACAGCAATAAGTAATGACTCGTACATGGTAGCCCTTAATCCTGACAAAATGATGCTGACCTAGTCAGGACAGATGTTTTTGTTTTTGTTTGCAGGTGGCAGGGATTAATATTTACATTCTGAAAAGGTAAACTGAGATCCCAAAGATGAAATTACTTGCTCAAAGCAATTGAGCTGGTTAGCTGAGGCACAGATCTGATAAAAGCACAGATCATCTGATGCTGGGCCATGACACTCTCCTGGCAGGAGCTGCTGACTGAGTCCACCTGTCACCTATGCTCTTCAGAGCACTTTCTGCTCGACCTGTGCTACCGAAGTGGACCTAAGTGGCCTCACTCTAGACAGACTAGAGGAACAACTTACTGCAGCCACAAGCCCTGCATGGGTCCTGTCCCACCTGACCCTTATGTGTGCCTGTGGGTTAGTCTGTTGCCCATCTGAACAATGAGGCATTGAGCTTTATGAGTACAGCCCTCACATCCAGGACAGAGGGCCCACCTGCCTGCCATCCCAGCAGCATCCTAGGCATGCCACTCCACCACTGAGGTGTCAGCAAGCTTGGAGGGTAGGCAGAACAATAAAGCTGAGTGAGGTGCCCATTTGCTGACAGGGAAGGCAGGGGTGGTGGTAGAACCTTGGGACTTTCAGGGCCTGGGAACAACTGGAGACCCAGGGAGACTGTCTGGTTGGTGAGTGTGTACTCTAGGAGAGGTTGGTCCCCCACCCCACACAAAATAGTTGCAGCCATCTTTAATACAACAAGAGAGCCCAACCTAGGCCATTAAGGGTCTGCAAGCTCCCTGGGACGCATGAACAGAGCCTCTCCTGAGGCTCCCATATGCTCAGCAGGTGGAAGGTGTCAGGGCTCCCTGTGGTTATGACATGCATCCCCCCATCCATCAATCCTGGAGCTGCTGCTGTGGGCCAGGCCCAGCACCAGGCAACAGGGAGACACAGGGAGAAAAGCCCGGTGGTTTCTCAACCCCTGTGAAGTTTTGCATTCTCGGCAGAGAGACAGACATTAGCCAAATGATCCCACAAAAAGATGCTAAATTGCAAAAGTGACAAGGGCTTGAAGGTCAAGCACCCAGTGCTTGGAGAGCCCATGGAACGGAGATTTGAGTGAGAAGCCTAGCTTTCATCAGCTTTCAGAGGTCAGCTCAGTGACCTCCCTGGACCCCAGAGGAAGGGATCACTGAGCTGACCTCTGAAAGCTGATGAAAGGAGGGAAAAGCATTTGGGAAGAGGGAACAGCATGGGCAGAGGTCTTGAGATGGGACAGAGAATGGTGTGAAACGGGAATGGAAACGGTCAGGTGGCTGAAGCAGAGATGATAAGGCAGCGGTGTACAGGCGAAGGTCTGTATGAAACCTTGTCTTCACCCTAAGAAAACACTTAGTTTGAGAAACCACCAAGAGGTGTGAAGAAGGAGGGCCACAGCCAGACACGGAATGAGGGGATGCAGCAGACCTGGAGAAAGCGCCTTCCACACTCAGGTGGGGGGAATCCTGGCATTGCCTAGGGGTGCCCATGGAGAGAGCTTAGTAGGAGAAACCAAGGAGACACAAGGAGGGATTAGAGATGGGGGATGCTGGGCAGAGAGAGGCCTAGGTGACGGCCATGTTTCTGACTTGCTTACCTGAGCAGGTGGAGATGGGACCACATAGAGAGGAACAGGTCCAGGGGGTTGGACAGGGAAGATCAAGACATTAGTTCTAGAAAGGATGAGTTGAAAGTGTCTATAAAACATCTATGAGAAGATGTCAAGTGGTCAGCTAGCCATATGAGTTTGGAGTTTAAATGAGAGAACTGAGCCGGAGAAAGAATTTATAGGAAAGCCAGGTGATCAGAGAAATTGAGCAGGGCTGTCCCACACTGCTGGGGACCCACCACACTTGCACAGGTGGATGTCTGGTTTTTAAAGTAAGACGAAATGTCATCTTCTCTGCAAAGTAACACAGGCCCATGTTTCCTTACCTAAAAGCCCTGGGATCTAACTGGCTTTGGAATTCTAGTTTTGTAATATATTCTAAGATGGAATTTGTTTTATTTTAGAAAGGTAATATGGTGCATATGCCACTTAAATACATAATACCCGAGTGGGGTCCAGGGCAGCACCCTGCAATCTAACATATTAGTATTTCTGCAGCAGAACATGAATATTCACATTGAGTGAATGGATGAAGACTATAAATAGCCTCACATCTGTGCAGGTCATTTCGTCTTCAAATGAGTTCTGAGGGAAACAAAAAAGGGAAACAAAACCAATGTTTGGTTTTCAGGACTATTTAGATCTTGGATAAGGAAACACAGGCCGATACTATGCCTAAAAGAAATAGGAAGACATAGAAGAGAAGAAGGCAATAATCATGGTCCAAACACATGTCCTTTTTTCAACTCCCTTCTCTTGAGGGAATTAAAAAAAAAATCTTCCCAGAAGGCTTCAGAAATTAGCAGAAGGATTACATAGGCCTGGATGGCACACTGGCTGCCTTTCATTGGTGTGCAGGGATGTCAATCATGACAGGTCTACCACAGCCTGCTGGGACCTGGGCACTTCTCTCAGCCTAGAAATGAGGGCTCTGCAGTTTCGAGAATTTCAGCTATGAAGAAGTATGGGATTTTGTAAGGGAGGGCAGTTGAGATGAACATAGTTCATCCAGGTCATGTCCTTTGCATGTTGAAAAATCTTTGATGGTTCTCCATTGTCCTTTTTTTTTTTTTTTTTTGAGACAGAGTCTCACTCTGTCACCTGGGTAGAGTGCTATGGCATTATAGCTCAGAGCAACCTCAAACTCTTGGGCTCAAGTGATCCTCCTGCCTCAGCCTCCTGAGTAGCTGAGACTATAGGTGTGCACCACCATGCCTGGATAGAGACATTAGTTCCAGAAAGGTTGAGTTGAAAGTGTCTATAAAACATCCAAGATAAGATGTCAAGATAAGATTTTGGTAGAGACAGGGTCTTGCTCTTGCTCAAGCTGGTCTTAAACTCCTGAGTGCAGGTGATCTATCCTCCTCAGCCTCCCTGAGTGGTAGGATTACAGGTGTGAGCCACTGCACTAAGCCCCCCATTTTCTTCCATTTTTATGTTCTGAATACTGTAAATGCAGTTAACTTACTACTCTACAAAAACACTATCATCACTACTTGGGAGGCTGAGGCAAGAGAATCACTTAAGCCCAAGGGTTTAAGGTTGCTGTGAACTGTGATGCCACGGCACTCTACCCAGGATAACATAGTGAGACTCTGTCTCAAAAAAAAAAAAAAAAGGAAAAAAAAGGCACCATGGTCTTTCACACTTCTACCTTTGCCTAGGCTATTCCCTCTGCCTGGAATTCCCTTCCTTCTACTGACTTTGTGGTGAACTACTATTTATTTCCCAAAACCTGCACAAATATCATCTCCTGTTAATGTTTTTCCTCACTGCCTCTGGCCAAGCTAGTCATGGTCCTTGGGTGCTCACAGGCATGTCAATACCCACATCACAGGTTTCTTCCTTTCAACACTCCGTGATTAGGTGGGAGCCCACCTCCCGGTCATGTTTGCAGGAACAGTGCCTGGCATGTGGAAGAGAAGGAATGAGTGAGGAGCAAAAGAGACAGATGGGCAAAAGCTGATCTTTTTCTTTGAGGTTGTGTGCAGGGCTGAATGGGCCAGACAAGGGGTTGTGAAACTGTACCAGTGTTTCAGGGCCAAGGTGCTGTCTTCTACTTTCTAA